TACGTCGTGCCTCAACCTGCATGCTATAATCATATTTAGATTTGTAATCAAATAAAGGAAAAATTATAATTACCTACTAGACATTTGATTTTAGTTTAAATTATACACCTTCTTGTTCCCTGAATCATAATAAGCACACAAATTAGCCCATGAGTCTCTATCAATCCAAGAAAACGTTGGAGTAGTCCAAAGAGCCTCCCTCTCTAATTCGGGAGAATTTTTCCACACCTCAAAACACTCTTGTTTTACCTGACACTTATTATATCGGACCCTCTCTTGCAACTGAGACTTCATTCCTCGATAAATTAGTAGTCTTGTATTTTTTTGGCCCCCGTGCTAGCTTCTCCAAATTAAATAAGCATCACCCAATTCACCAAAGTTAGGTTCCTTTTATTCATATTTTCACCTCTCTTAACTGCTTTCACTATGCTGCTAAACTCATACTCATGTGTAACCTTCAGTACTCTATTAAGATTAGTAGCCAAAAGATAGCTTTCATGATGATTAAAATAGTGTAATGTAAGAGATTGCACATGTAATGAAACAATACTTTGTTTATTGACGACTTTAATTAGCATGCCCATGAAATCAACAAACACTTAAATGATCTATCAGCTGTAGATGTCTAGGTATTTTGAAGGAGACTTCAAATAAATTGACCAGCTTAAATTAAAAAATTATGAAGAAGAATACAGCAAGAACAGTAGTTAAGATAAAGGCATAAAATAGTAATAGCTGGAGGGATGACCATACACTTCCCTATCAAGAAATTTTAATAGAGTCAATCAACAAATTTTAATTGAGAATAACCTATGTATCTGCTGCAGACATGTGGTTTTATTCCAACTGTGTACATTTTGTATCTGCTACAGACACACACAGCAGATGTGTATCTGCTATGTATCTGTAGCAAATACACAGCAGTGTGTATCTGCTGTGTATATGCAGATACACACAGCTTCAGATCTGCTGTGTAGCTGCAAATACACACAGCTGTATATGCAGCTGTGTGTATCTGCAGCAGATACACAACAGTCCATATCTTCTACAGATACACAGCAGTGTGTATCTGCTGTGTATCTGCAGATACACAGCAGATACACATGCTATTAATTGCTCTTAGAGTTCTTTTGGTATCAATCCGATTATCAAATGCATTGTCAATCAACTCCGCATAGTTAGTTAGCTAGTTAGCGTGGCTTCACACTGCAAGATGCTAATAATGTGTGATAGTCTTGAGGAAAGTTTATGCATGATAATGTTCTAGTTTAGTTTTGAGGAAAATTTATGCATGATAACGTGCTAGTTCTAAGGAAAGTGCACATGTGCAACATGCTAGTTCTAAGGAAAATTTATGCATGATAACGTTCTAGTTCAGTTCTAAGGAAAGTGCATGATAACGTGCTAGTTCTAAGGAAAATTTATGCATGATAACGTCCATTACTGTACAACTAAAGCCATCATAATGAGCAAATAAGTATACACAAAGCAAACTAATTCATTTTTCTTAAATAAACATCTAAATTCAACCTAATATTTTCCAATGCAAAATGCAACCTTCTCCTTCTCGCAATAAATAGATTGGATAACATAAGTTTATAAAGGAAGCAGGCAGATTATAGTAATTTGTGCAAACACTGGTGAACATGTGCGGGTAAGATGATTACAAGACGGAATTGGGACGCTAATAATACGTGAACTTGTAAAGAAGTCTTTCAAAATTATGTAAGAGATAGAAGCATTATGTAAGCATTTCTTGGCAAAAAGCACATTAATCACCAAAAGATAAAGAAGAAAGATGCTGTCGTGACGATTGTCCGGAAGGTATGGAGTGTGAAGGGGGGTTGTCTGTAAATCATTTTCTTGTGTAGGGTCTTGTTGATTTGCGTCTATATCTGTGTAAGAGATAGATTGCAAATAAAAAAACTTTGTTGCAACTAACTAGATTTTTATAAGTAAAGGATAAAGATTAGGTGTCATGTTACAACAGAATCAAAAGAAAATTAAATAGTTTAACTGGAGTAGACTCCCCAATGCTAGGTATGGATGTAGCAACATGAGCAGATTTAAGTTCTCTCCTATGCTCTCTCACCTGATGCTGCCGGTCTCCGCGCTGTGTATCTACAGCAAATTCAAGTTCTTTCCTACGCTCTCTCTCCTGACGCTGTAGGTCTCCGCGCTGTAGAAGTCTACGTGATTTGCTCCGTGATGGAACTCCAGATATATTCGTCAAGCCCTATAAAGAATTTTACCATTTATATAAGATATATGTGAAATAGACATATTTATCAAGTTGAAGATATAATTTTAAACAACATGATTTTTATAATGGTTACCTTTTTTGCTTTACAGAAGTGTTAGGTTCTACAGATTTCCTAGAAGTTGTAGGAATATCTACAAGTATTTCACTATTCAAATCATTCCTAACCCATAAAATTTTATCATATTCAGGAGATTTATCTTGACATACAACACCTCCCTGATCAAATTCTTCGTCATCATTGATCTCTACAACCTCCGAATCTATGAACTGTGGGGCGTCGTAAGTATCCCTGGGCCTCCATCGACATACAACACTCCACCCAAAATGCCTCAAGCACTTCGAGTAGTATACTTGAAATGCTTGTTCTGGAAATATAAATGGATCGTCCTCAAAGGAAAAATGTGTTGTGTTTACACTCGTCAATCCATTTTCATCTACCCAAGCCCCGTAATTGTCTCTCCACTTTCTAGTTCCAGTCTTCATATCATACCAAACACATTGAAAGACATAAATGCATCCTGCTTGACCTGGATAGTTGATACCAAGTATGTTATCAAGGTACCCATAGTATATCTCGTCATTAGTGCCTACGGTTGTAATTTCACTATTTTGGGTGGTTCGAGATTCTTCTATAGACTTGATTTCAAACTTGTAACTGCCAACACCGAATCCTTTATAGTATTTAACTTCAGCATCTGGAAGTGTAGCCAAATATCCAAGTTTCTTATCTAATATCGACTCTACACTCGGTAATTGGCTCTGGCAAAAAGGTCAATACAGCAATTACATAAAGATGTTAGATTAAATTGAATGAATAAGTCAAAAAATAAGAAAATAGAAATCTTACATAATGTTTAAACCAATTACAAAAATTGTCCTGATGATGTGTTTCAACTCGTGCCTCATTCCAATTACTATGCATTGCACATATTTCATCCTTATGTATTCTAATGTCAAAAAATAGTAGGTAATGTGAGAAGTATATTTGGGTGTAGTAAACATATATAGCAAATAGTAGGTAATGTGAGAAGTATATTTGGGTGTAGTAAACATATATAGCATTATGTGAAATAGACATACTCTCTAACTTCTCCAAGGCATTCGATATTGAGATATAGCATTATGTGAAATAGACATACTCTCTAACTTCTCCAAGGCATTCGATATTGAGAAGGATAAAGCAATGAACCTTGTTGATAAATGCGAGATTCATTCTATTGTAATCTGGCTTTTTTGATGGTCTATCATGAATCACAAGAGGTCTGTTGAGTTTTGTCTCACTGTCTTCATCCAGATAACGGGAACAAAAAGTGGTTACTTCCTCTAGCAGATAACCTTCCATAATAGAACCCTCTGGTCGATTTCTATTGCGAATATAATTTTTCAGAGTGAGAAGGTACCTACAAAAGCTTACACTAAATCACCACATCCAAGATGTAAAATAAAAATATATCAATTACGTTAACTATAAAACTAAAGGTACCTATCGATGGGGTACATCCATTAATATTGTACTGGTCTGGCAAGCCTAGCCTCAATTGCAAGATGAACAGTCAGGTGTATAATGATATCAAAGAATGATGGTGGAAAAATTCGCTCAAGCTTGCAAAAAATTAACGGAATTTTAGCCTCTAGCTTCTTCAACTTATCATCCTCGATGTTTTTAGCACAAAATTCCCAAAAGAATCTGTAAAAATCATTGATCACTAAACCGACTGATTTAGGGAGAGAAGTCCTGAGAGAGAGTGGAAGAAGATACTCCATAATAATATGGTGATCATTGTAGGCGTCAAAAATTATCTATGGCTCCCCGCACGTGGCTCAAGACAAAGAGAAGACGATGAACGTCACTATTCGAGTTACAGAAGCTTGATTGACGTCAATTAACGCTTGAAGTGAATTGATGAACTATGTGAAGCAACGGAGTTTCAGAATAACGAGGATACGAACTGATCAGGAGCCCCACGTCGCCTACAAAAGGCAAAGTGCCCCTCATGTCCTAGTTTACTCCATAATGACCCAACCTTCGGAGCTTGTAGATCTCCTCGTCAGCTTTCCAACGCACTATGAATCACTCAAATCCGAGTTCGGATGAAGAAGTTACGGTGGAAACTGACAAGCGCGCAAAACGAGTTGTCTCAGCCTAACCTAAGACACCCCGAGGTGTCTCGGCCTAACCGAGACACCCCGAGGTGTCTCGGCCTAACCGAGACACCCCAAGGTGTCTCGGCCAAGGCCAAGACACCCAAGGGTGTCTCGGCCTCGCTGAGACACCCTAGGGTGTCTCCAGGCCCCAAAAGGGGTTGCTATGTTGTTTTAACCACCCGAACTTCCCCCGAGCCTATAAATACAACCTCAGGCCCTCATTTTTCTGGATCTGGAATTTTGGAGAATTAGCGAAGCCC